ATATGGCAATATGGCCACCGCCAGCCACAGGCAGCTATGGAGGGTATTGTCTCATGTCAAGTGAAACTGATAGACTGGGAAAATTTTTTTTTTCTTTTTTGATTGTTTGTGCCAGAGAGGCAGAGAGAGGGAGAAAGAACTCCCTAATGGGACGTGGTTGTGCTGCAATCCCTTCATTTCTCCATCCTTTTGGGATTTCAGGCATACATACCTGCATGCGTGCACACACATGCGCGTGCCCAGAGTGCTTTTCAAGCTACTGGGGCCCAGATTTGAATTGCACAGTTGGCCATGTGAGATCCGACTGCCTTAACCATCAGGCCACAGGAAAATTAATCATTCAACCTTAATCAACTTAAATTGGAAGAGTCCACATGGCTAGTGGCTAACATTTGGGATAGCACAGCTCCAAAGGTTAGGTTGAGAAGAGGCCCCAGGTCTGGCCCTGGAATTACCAGCATGTAGAGGTCAGGAAGAGGACAGAGGCAGCCAGGAGACTGAATGGCAGCCAGAGAGGCCAGAATGATGTTCAGGAAGCCAAGGATAGAAAGTCCAGTAAGATGGAGGCTAAAAATTAACCAGTGGGTTTACAGGGTCAGGGCTCTGGGTCACCGGAACTGGAGTGAGGCAGCCTGGAGCCCTGCAGCTGCAGAGCTAGACTGCCAGGTAGCGACACCCCTGGCAATGGAGTGGGCACTGGCTTGGCTTTCTGGAAGGCAGAGGTCCCTGACCACCCTGGGTCCTGTGCAGAAGGACTACCAACTGCCCAGAACAGCAGCTAGTCGCAATAGAGCACCATCCCCCATGACCGTGGGCCCAAGCATGTTGCAGTGACACCTGGCCCTCATCTCTCCATTCATCTCGGTTGTAGGGGCTGGGCCATCCTAGTTTAGGGCCTAGTGGGACCGATAGACTAAAAGGTCAGTTTGTGCCAATGCCTGAGGGCTGCCGTGCCGCCACCAGAGACTTGTCGCTGCCTTCCCTCTGATAACAGACCCACAGCACGACCTGGTGTCTCGATCTGACCCTCCCGTCCTCACTCCCGAGAGATGCTTGTTCTGTCCTCCCCTCAGATATCAACAGCGATGGCGTCCTCGATGAGCAGGAGCTGGAGGCACTCTTCACCAAGGAGGTGGGTGTCCTGGAGGCCTTGGGTGCAGGGACACCCAGAACAGCCACGTGTCCCCTCAGGAGGCCTTGGGTGCAGGAACACCTAGAACAGCCACCTGACCCCTCAAGGGGTACCTTTGGATGCCCCTAAATTGAAGCTCAGGGAAAACTACAACTCCCAGCAGCACCTGGGGCAAAAGAAGTTGTCAGGAGTGGCAGTGTGCCCCAAGGACTGCTGGGGGTTGTAGTCTGTATATGGAGAAGGGAAGTCTGGCAATGAGGTCACCCTGGTCTTCAATATCTCCTGCCTCTCGCGTGACCTTGCAGCTGGAGAAGGTGTATGACCCCAAGAATGAGGAGGACGACATGCGGGAGATGGAGGAGGAGCGGCTGCGCATGCGGGAGCACGTCATGAAGAATGTGAGAGGAGGAGCCGCGCGGGGGGCGGGGCACCGGCCAGGATGCATCGCTGAAGCCCTTTCCTGGCTCTGCAGGTGGACACCAACCAGGACCGCCTCGTGACCTTGGAGGAGTTCCTTGCATCCACTCAGAGGAAGGAGTTTGGGGACACAGGGGAGGGCTGGGAGGTGAGTCCATAAGGGACACTTTCCTAGCCCCAGCCTCTCGTTAAGGGTCTGTGCCCCCCCTCGGTGTCTGTCTGTCTCGCTCTTTCTGAATCTCTGTCTCACTCTCTGAAGCCCCGTATCCCTGCATGTCTGTCTGTCTTTCTGAGACTCTCCCTCTCTGGGTCTCTGTTCTCCCCTGTGTCTAGGACTTCAGTCTCACACACATGGCCCTGGCCTCCCTGCCTCTTCCAAACCCCCAATATTAGCAGAGCCCTGTGCAACATGGGGACCAGGCCTGGAGCTGTCCCCGCTGATGGCCCCTGTCCCTGCCCTGCAGACGGTGGAGATGCACCCTGCCTACACGGAGGATGAGCTGAGGCGCTTCGAAGAGGAGCTGGCTGCCCGCGAGGCGGAGCTGAACGCCAAGGCGCAGCGCCTGAGCCAGGAAACAGAGGCCCTGGGGCGGTCCCAGGACCGCCTGGAGGCCCAGAAGAGAGAGCTGCAGCAGGTGACCAGCCAGGACAGCTGGGTCCTGGTCCTTGTCTTTGTCCAAATGAGTGTTCAGAGCCTGGGAATGCCTGTGGTTGCCATGCTGGTCACTGGTAGATCCCCAGGTGGGAATTGCTGTCTTGAGTAGGGGCAGCCATTCTCCCATCACTCGCAGCTCTCGGCCGCCATGTTGGATGAGGGCATCGGAGTTGTAAGTGGGCGGGAGGAAGACTGAGGAAGAGGGAGGGTGGACTTAGCCAGGGTTCAGCGAGGGCTTCCCTGTTCCTAGGTGGGGCCCAAGCCCTGACATGGGAGGGAGACCTGGATCCTTATTAAAGTCCAGTCTCAGAATAAACAGGCCCACGGAGAAGGGACTGGTCCCTGAGCACTTAGTCAGCTGCTGTGGCGGGTCAGTTTGGGGACTGAGGCCTGAACCCTCCTCTGTGCCATCTGCCCCCACCCCCGTCTGCAGGCCGTTCTGCACATGGAGCAAAGGAAACAGCAGCAGCAGGACCACAAGGCCCCGGCCTCCAACCCCCAGGGACAGCTCAAGTTCCACCCGGACACAGGTAGGGGGAGGAGGAGCTGGGGCTGGACTCCCAGGTCTGCGGGAGGAGGGGCTGGGGTCTGAGGGAGAGAGGCTGAGGCTGGACTCCCGGGTCTGGGGGGCGGGCATGGCAGGCCAACTTCATGGGAGTCCAGAGCCATTACACCAACTGCTGGTCCCAACTGCCACTGTTTCTACTTACGGCATGTGACCACAAGGTTATCAATAATATTCTGAGTCAGATTTTATTTTATTTCGTGCCCTTTCCCCTCCTTTTCAGAAGATGCGCCTGTCCCAGCTCCAGTGGGTGACCAGAGGGATGTGGACACTTCGGAAAAGAAGTCTCCCGAGAACCTCCCCCCTGAGGGGGCCCAGCCGGATTCCCAACACCTGTGACCCTTCAGGACCCCAGCCCTCCACCCCCTACCGAGGCAGCTGTGGGAGTAGGATGATGTCGTAGTCAGCCTTCTCTGGGGGCCAGTGCCACCATGGCCTCCCAGGGAGGGGGACAGGGTGGCCTTGCCCACGTTGCTGCCCATCCAGCCCTGCCAGCCTCCGTGCAGAGCTCTGTCTGTGGCCCTGTCTGTCCCCTTCCCTGGCCTCCTTCTCTGTGCAGTCAAGCACTCACCAGGTCAGCCTAACTTCGGGGAGCCCCCGCCCCGCGGCTTGCTCTCTGCTCTCCCCGAGTGCCTGCTCAGGGCTCCCTCCTACAGGCTTGGCCTCTGCTGCCCCCGGTGGCCACTCCACAGCCTGGCGTCCTGCCTGCTGCTCTGGCCTGGCTTCTGTTGGCTTATGGGCTTGAGGTGGTCCCTGGAGACCTTCTCCCACCTCACGTGGGACCAGCACCACCTCCGGGACCGTGTCTTCACCGCGGAGTACAAGGGGCTGCAACAGTAGGAGTCCAGACTGTCCCTGAGCCCTGGCTTCCAGCCACCTCGTGGCCAGCCTCCCCCGCCCTCTTGGCCCTTGTCCCTTCCTCACATGTCCCCGGTGAGTCCCAGAGCTGACCGTCCCTCACCACCGGGTCTGGCCCCGCAGTTTTTGTGGGAGGCCCTGAGGTCGGCTGCCCCCCTGCCGGCCTCTCCGCTCCGCGTCCTGCTTGTGCTCCGGTTTCACCAAATACACTTTCTGGCCCGAGTACCTGCCCTTCGTCCGCGTGCGTTACTGCCCCCTCGGAAACCCACCTCCACGCCTTCTGCCCATCCTCTGCTTTGAAGACTGGCAGTGGGCTGGAGGGCACCAGCGGTAAAACGCAATTCTCTGCTGGCCCACAAGGAGAGGTTCTGGGTTCGAGCCCAGAGCCTGGGACTGGGCGTCATGTGCCCGTGATCCAGGCCGCCTGTGCCCAGGGAGGATCCTAGCCTCGAGGGCAGGTTGGGGGCATCCCCTCTCTCACTCTCATGGCATCAATAAGCAAAATAAACCTTTAGGAAGATTGAGTGGGAGCTAGCGAGGTGGCATGGAAAGGCAGCTGGATCCCACCCACAAATAAGCAAAATACACATTCAGAGTTTCACACCATCCTGGGCAATGTGGCACTCTGTCCCGCTGCCCGACACAGGACGCAAATCAGCCCTTGGCCCCGCAGACCCACTGGGCCCTCCGGCACTGGGCGGCCCGATTTTCTCAGCGAGCACAGCGCCCGGGCTTCAGTGCTGTCCAGAGCGTCACGCCCACTGGGAATTTGCTATGGAGCATGTGCACTCACCAGAGAGAGACACCATCTGCCGCCCCCCAGAGCTGGGTTTTGAACCCAGCAGGCTGGATCCTACGTCCGGGCTCTTTCTTTAATTGTTTTTTTAAGGGCTTTGGGTATAGGGCGCATGCACTCACCAGAGAGATGACAGAGATGGAGAGAGACATCAGCCCCCGAGGGGGGATGGCCACACCACAATGCCTTCCCCATTCTCCTCTCAGGATCTTAGGCACGCACACACGGGCCCGACATGAGTTTCAAGGCACGAGGCTCAGGACTTGAACCATAGCCAACCACATGGGAGTCCAGTGCCGTAACCGCCATGCCACTAGCTGGTCCCCAAAGTCCAGGCTCTTAATCACCATCCAGTGTTCTTTCTGGCACTAAGAATTCTGGCGGACAAGTGAGTTAATGAGTATATGCAATGTCTCATCTTGGCTCGCTCTCCATCCACCCCTCACGTGGTTGACAGTTTGTGCGTGACCTCTAAGTTCCCAGGTGTTTTTCTAACACTTGATGTAACCCTGCCCCTTGGCTCCTTCATGCCTTGTCGCCTGCACGGTGAACTCGTTGGCTCCTCACAAAGGCCCCATGACCTGCGTGCGTTCGTCTCTGCTCTGGGTGCCAGCCTCTTCTAGGTGCATCCGGCTTTGTCCTGCGAGGACTGTTCCCTCGCTTGGAAAGCCATCACTTCTGTCCCTAGAAAACGTCTGTCAACGTCTCTGCGGTGCAGGGCTGGACAGGGGAAGCGGTACTGTGACACGTGAGGACCCTCAGGGAGGGTTCCAGGTCGGCACCCACACACCTCCCAGAACCCGCAGGGCACATGCGTGCCCATGAGCCGGGGCTGACAGTGGGGGCTGATTGTGACGTCAGGACCCTGTTTGGGGGACTCTCTCTTTCTCTCTATCCCTTAAATAAACTTGAGAGAAACTTCACAATGCAGGTTCATGGTCACCCACTCTGCCCGGTCTTCCTTGAGCTGCCAGGCTGGGCTAGAACTGGCCTCTGGCCCCCACGCTGCCGGCGTCTTAATCCATCGCTGTGATCTGAACTCGGACAGTACAGAGCAGTGTAGGCGCTTCCTGCCCCCTCTGTAACAAGCTGGTGCAAACTTCAAACACGCATTATCTACATCTGGGGGTCAGAAGTAAAATATGAGTCTTTTTTTCTTTAAGAATTACTTATTTAGGGGCCAGCAGGTTGCGTAGTGGTTAGGGGCATTGGGCCCTCACATGGCTGACCACAGTTCAAGTCCTGGACCTAGTGGCTTGCTTTCTCACTTTCTCTCTCTCTCTCTCTCTCTCTCTCTCGTCAAATTAAAGTAAA